GCCGAGGACGGAGTACTAAGGGAGCTGATAGGTTAGGTGGAGTACCAAGGGGATCGAAGGGCGGAGTTCCACGCTCAAATCGCTACTATACTCGTTCCATCCTATGTCGATGACGTTTCCCCCACTCCCAAGTGGTCCAGAATCTGTCTTGTTCATCTACTTGAAAGTACTTCCTTGTTTTTGTAAATATATTCTACTTTTTCTGTTACCCGACATAGAACCGTTTCTGTTGACATACCTGACCTGTATGCATATTGGTCTCGAATTAATGGTCTGATAGCCAGTGATACGTCCCTGATATGCCTGTCAAGTAGTTTTTCTAGCTTTTTCAACGCAAATGACATGAGACTAATTGGTCTCAAAGCCTTCGCCGAGTCCTGTCCGATTTTCCCAGGTTTCGGAATGAAGGTGGCCCTGATCAGTCTCCAAATTTTTTGTATGTGTCCCAGTGCTAAGCTTGCCCTGAGAATTATACACAACTTTTTGAAAAGTACTTTAGGTCCCTTTTGAAGCATTGCTGGGTATATGCCATCAGGTCCCAGCGACTTATAGGGTTGAAATGAGTTTACAGCCCATTTAATTTTCTCCATATCTATCACCTTCTTTGTCATTTGCCAGTCCTCCCTGGATGCCCTTTTCGGGGTCTCCAGTTCTGAATTCGCCCAGGACTCCAGTGTTAGATTTATAATTTCTGACCTGGGAAAGTGTACCCGGAAAAGCTCTCTGATAGTCTCTTCTCCGATTTTTGTATACTCCCCCGTATGTTTTTTCAGATTATTTATTGAGACCTAAGGTTCCTTCGAGAGTATTTTATAGAGCCTGGCACATTCTTGCGTCTATTCGACCTCCTCACATTGCCTTCTCCACGTATCTCTCTTGAATTTCTCAGTTAGGGACCTTCAGTATTGGTCCCATGAACCTGATTTCCTTGCACATTTGAAGGCTTTTCTAGTTTTTTGTCTCATCCTCGCCAGATCTTCATTCCACCAGGGCACATTCATGTTTGATCTCTGGTTTACTATGGGATAATGTTCGTTGTACGTAGAGATGATAGCTCCCTGTAATCGATCTGCTGCCAACTCTAGGTCTATTGAGAGGACGCCTGTATAAAACAGGGCTGTACAACGGATACCTCAACTGTTGGCAGTGCTACAAACGACAGACACTTCGTCATATTTTATGCGAATGTGAGGGCTTTGGATCACGAGGCAAACAATTTATGGACAACCCAAATTATTTCCAGAAGAATATGACATAAGTCCAGCAAAAAAACTGTACATAGACTACGGGAAACATGATTGTTGGAATGGGTGTTATGAAGAGATGGGAGAAAACTCAATAAGCCTATGAGGCGAATGGGCAAGTCAGACGACTCTTAGGAAGCGAAAATTAATATAATAAAATTTAAAAGGTTAAACTGAAACCTCTGGCGTAGAATGAATCCAAAAAGCAGTTCAAGCCCCTACAACTGTCCTTATAGGACGAAACTGCAATAGCGTTAGTTACAAATAAAAGTGGTATAAAACATAGAAAGTTTCAATTCTCATTTCTTCACTGAAAATTGTGGAATAGTCCAATCCTGTTTATTATATGTTTGTCAAATCACACACTATCACAGATGTCATGTTGTATCTGTGGACTTACCTTTAGTTCTAGTTGCATATCAGTTGTCATTCTGTGATGTATGTGAGTTGTAAGCCAATGTAACGTTGGAAAAATTATAAAAATAAAAAGATAGAAAAGTAAGCTGAACTGATTTTTATAATAAGAAAAAGCTAGCATATTCAAAAATACAACAGGTTATGGGCCCAGAAACGGAAAGTTAATGGAATAAACAGAGAAAAGTAGTTGGAGCAAGTTTTTAGGTCAATTTTTCATAACGATACAGCCTACAGTCATGAAAAGAATGTAAAACCCTTTGAGGAAAACAATTATGGAAACAGGAAATTCCGAATTAAAATGCTACTAGAGCGACAGGAAGTCCTGGAAGTAATAACAGAGGAAGCACCTGCATCTGGAGATGTTAGGCAACCTGCAAGGAGAAAAGAGGAAATGAAAGCTCGCACCATAATAATTCAGACGACATCTTGGAAAGTATAAAAGACAAAACTTGTGCAAGAGAAATCATGGAAAGTTTGAATAAATCATACTCAAAAAAAAGAATTTCTACTCGAGTAGTACTAAAAAAGAAGTTGAGAAGTCTTAGATACACAGGAGATAATTCAATGAATACTTTTTTCACTGAATTCAAACAAACAGTTAGTGAATTGAAAGCTGTTGGAGGAAAAATAGAGCAGAATGAACTAATCTTACAAGTTTTATCAGCAATGCTTGAAAGTTTTCATTCTGTAACCACAGCCATTGATGTTATATTCTGTCAAGAGGAAAATAGTGTTACATTTGACGTTATCAAAAACAGATTACTAATGGAGGAGACCAGACAAAACAAAAATAAAGTGGATATGAATTTAATACTAAAAGATACAGAGGAAAGGGAAGGGGAAATTCCAGAGGATTAAGAGGTAGAGGCTATGGAAGAGGAAGTGATGGATACAATTCAAACCAGAATGCACCAGGACCCAGTTCAAACAATAGCTATACCACAAATTTTCCATTTAAATGCTATCTCTGTAATCGTGTTGGGCATAAAAGATCAGAATGTCCGAGAAACAATAACAGAGGTGGTTCTAGTGGCGGAAATTGTTCTCGTAGCAATTTTCAAGGAATAGGAAATTGGAATAGAAATGAAGCGCATATGAGTGGAAATGCAGGAAGTAAAACAGAAGAATCAATTTCATTTCTAACATCAGAGGTGATACAAGAAAATTTGGCTCTTGTTTCAGAGAACAAAATAAGTGTCAAATTTGTTGTCGACAGTGGAGCAACGAATCACTTGGTTTGTAAAAATCTGAAAAAGTATTTGACATATTGAAAAGACATAAATACAGATAAATTTTGCCAAACAGGGACAATCATTAACCTGCAAAAAGGAAAGTGATATTGAACTGAAAAGCAAACATAGGAAACTAGTAAAACTGAAAAATGTTTGGATTTGTGATAATCTATTTTGCAATTTATTATCAGTAAGGAAACTCTGAGAGAATGGGTATCAGATAATATTCAAAGAAAGAAAAGTATTCATTACAAGAGAAGGAAATCCATGGTAAATGGAATATGTGAGGTTTGCCTAAAGGGGAAACAAACCAGATTACCATTTCCACAGTTGGAAGAAGGGAGAAACGCAACAAGAATTCTTGAAACCTTAGCAACAGATGTATGTGGTCCAACTAATCCCTCAACTTATGACTGTAAGGTATATTTTATAACCTTCATTGACCATTTTTTTCATTTTGGAGTTTGCTATTTGACGGAAAAACGAACAGAAGTTTTTGAACATTTTAGAAACTATGTTGAAATGGTTGAGGCTAAATTTGGAACTAGAATAGAAAAGGTCAGATGTGATAATGTCCTGGAAGGAAAATAAGGAAAAACAAATAAAAGAGCGTGAAGATGAGCAAATACAACTAGAAACAAACGGGAGAAAGAAAAGTATAAGAAATACCAGACTTCCTGGTTATTTCAAGGATTATGTAATGAATCCAGATTCTGAGGTTGATTGTATATATGTTGCTCTGTCAGTGGGTAATCTCCTATCAGATGTGCCAAAAAGCTATTCAGAAGCCATATGTTCAGACGAAAAATGGCAAGAAGCACTAAACAGACTTGAAAAATGTCAAACATGACAGTTAGTTGAGAAACTCAAGGATGTAGAAATGATGGAACCAAAGTGGGTGTTTAGTGAGAAAATTGTTGGTGATAAAGTTGAAAAGAAAGCAAGGCTGGTGGCTCGGGGTTTAAGCAAAGTATTCCAGATGATAATGTTTATGCATCTGTTGCAAAAATGTCCACTATTCGAATATTATTGTCTATGTACGTAGGGTATAATTTATATGTAAGTCACTTTGATGTACAATCTGCATTTTTAAATAGAATCCCAAAAAATCCAGTGTATATGCAGATACTAGAAGGCCTGAAAGTTGACAAGTGTTGGAATTCTTTATTTAATGATGAAACTGGGATTGCAACATTCTAAGAAAGATCTCTGTTTGTATTTTAATGATAAGATACACACATCGGAAAAGTCTAGGGATATTTTAAAAAAGGTCTCCAATGTTATTGAAGAAGACCCCATGCATTGGCTTATCCTTGTGTTTCCGCAGAAGTAAGGTAATCTCTGCGGCTTTTATCTGAGTTTTTTGCTGAACGGGTTTCAACTCGGTGACAGAGTTGTGGTCACCGAGTTCATCAGCTGCTCGGGCAGCTGTCCCAAAGAGAAATGCTCCAATTCCTGCTCTCTCATGATCACGGACCATGCAGAGAAGGGGATACGAACTCCTGACGACTTTACAGGCTGTATCTAGTACCATTCTGTCATGTATACACTCCAAACTCATTATTTTTATTATCTGTTTAAATCTGTTTAAAATATGTTTTTCCGTTAATCAGCTGTCGCCCCCATATGAACGACAACTCTCAGAAGTTGAGAAACTTGTGCGAACTAAGGACTAACAAGGTCTAACCTTTTAACGTGTTATTATTATTATTACAGTTTTCATGCACTTGTTATTTTGCATGTCATATAGACTTTCTTTCGTTCTTGCTGTATAACTGATTCACTTATCTTCAACCAATTTCGGGCACAGTCATTTGGTGTGAATATTATATTTATTTCATTTTCATATTAGTGTTATTTTTTACTCCTTATACCTACATGTTGTCTGGGAAAGTTATTCTATTATTATAAGTGAATCTATAGTTATACGAGTATTAATGGCCGTTCCCGATTAAAGTGAACACTTACTGCAATCCACAACCTGAATCGAATTTTATTAATTAAAGATTGCCTTCTAATCTCAACTGATGTGTTCAAAAATGTCTGGGTGATAATAATAAACTTTAGGAATCATCAATTCATCATAATGAATAAATTTTTATTTTTCAGTTATTGCATTTGAAATCAAACAAGTACTTAACGGTGAACAAACGTCTGCCAGCTTTACTCGAGAAAAATGCAATGAGAGTGTACTTAGATAGTAATGGAAATGAAGGATCTTGGTTTTACATTTTGCCCTTTTATAAACTAAGGGCTACTGGTGATGACATTGTACTTGGTGATAAAGTTATTTTGAACCCCGTAAGCCCCGGCCAACAAGTACTTCATGTATCGAGTCATAAATTACCTGATAATCCAACTTGCAAGGAGGTTAATATTGTAAATGGAAATACTTCTTGGAAAGTAACATTATTCTTGGAGCACAAGGAGAATTTAGAGGAAATATTGAAAGGAGGTGATGTAGTGAGATTATTTCATGCTGAACAGGAAAAATTTTTGACTATGGATGAATATAAAAAAGAACATCATGTATTCTTGAGAACAACAGGGCGTTCAAGTGCAACAGCTGCCACCAGCAGTAAAGGTATGATATATTTCTATATTTTCATAATATATATAATTTAATTAATTACTTTTTTGGCATATATATCGATAATGGTCAGCCAAGAAAACATTGATTTTTGTTCAATTTCAGCTTGAAAAAGTACTTTTTACTTATCAAAAAACTTTTGATGCAAAATATTTCAATAGAAATTATTGATAATTGAAAACAACTTTTTACTAATTATTTAAAATAGTTGAATGTTTTTATAAAACATGATATTCTCATGGCAGACAAATGAAATCGAATTTTCATTATGATACTAAAATTAATATTATGGAATTATGGTCATTTAAGTGTGCAACATACGTACTCACGTGAACGTGATAAGTTTTGAGGTTAGACTGCTAGATGATGCGGTGACGGAGCTCACAGACGAAGAGGGGTGAGGGAGACGCAGGCGGAGGGTGCCGGATTATTGAACGTATCAGTCTATTGAAGTGCCGGATAATTGAGATTCTACTGTATTGCCAAAAGTTGGTGTATATTCGATAATTATATTAGGTATACTTAGAATGATTGCAAGTCGACTAGCATACAGGATAGGTCAAACAATATAAAAATTGTAGAGGATTGTATTGCGGATACCCATGACACATAACAAATGAGGGTTGAGAGAAAATATTATGACAGTTTGGCGACATTATAATAATAATAATAAAACCTCTTTATTCATCTGAAGTAAGAACATACAGAGGATACAAAAAATATTGAGGTAAATGGGCGGAGTGTCAGCAAAGCTGTTTTTAAACTCAACCTTCGAGAAAAAAAAATGATATTTGAAATGATTGAATCAAATGGTTAAAGTGTTTTGTAAAGTGCAGTTCAGAATCAAACCACAGTCCTAAGTTCTTTGCTTCAGTTACAAAAGGCATATTGTCACCATTTATATGAATATGAAGACTATTTTTAGCAATATCTCGAAATCTTTTCGGTCCAAAGATCATTACTGCCGACTTTCTGAAGTTTAACTTCAATTTATAATCTGATGAAATACCAAAGATGGTCTGTAGATCACGATTAATGAGGTTTTGAGCGGAATCAATGTCAGGAAACTGAAAAGAGAAGTACAGTTGAGTATCATCTATGTAATGATGAATGTTGCATTTTTCTACCAACTGATGGTATTCACAAATATATAAACTGAATAGTAAAGGACCAAGGATGGATCCTTGAGGAACACCTTTAGTTACGGGCAGAGCCTCTAGCTGATATCGTCCACCATAATTCTTTGAATTCGGTTCGTTAAGTAATTTATAACTAGAGACAGCGCGTTCACAGAAAAACCGAAGAAGCTGAGTTTATCACACAGGATGTCAAAGTCAAGAGAGTCAAACGATTTACTGTAATCAAGAAGTATTAAACAAGTTAATTTACTTTCATCGACAGCTTTGAAGAGGTCGTCGGTGATGGAAAGTAAGGCTGTGGTTGTGCTGTGTTGAGGTCTGAAACCTAACTGCACGGGTGTGATGATTTAGTGTTCATTTATGAAGCTGCAAGTTTGGTCCTTCATGATCATCCCAACAACTTTTGAAAGACAAGGTAGGATAGTGATAGGCCTCAGGTCAGAGAAATCCGAAGGGGAGTTGCACTTAACTGAAGGAAATATCACACCGTTCTTCCAACAAATTGGGAAAACACCCTTAGTTTAAATGGCATTGGCGGGAAAGGTTAACGGATCCAATAGATGACTATCTAAGAGATGGATCATTAGGAGTGATATATTGTCTGAGCCGACTGCGTTACTTTTGAGACGATTCAGGCAATTCTGTATAACTGCAGACGAGACCGCACTGAAATAAAAAGGTTTATGAATTACTGAAGGAGAACGGTATCGTTCGGTATCTTCTCATTATAGAATAATTACTGCTGAATTATTAAGTTTATTTGATTTCAAAGCATGAACGTACCAAAACTGTATGTACTGAGAAAAATCAATTAGAAGTACTTCAGGCAGTTGTTGAAAACCCTAGAAGATTCATAAAAGAAATTTATAGTTATACAGTGTAAAACAAAGCTCTGTAAGAAGATTCTTAAAAAAAAATCATATCATAACGAGACTATGACTTACGGTATGACTTCTGAATGTGGATTCAAGGACAAATAGAAAATAAACATGATTTCTATAAACACATTCTTTTTGGAGACGAATCCATGTTCGCAGCAAATGGCGTTGTCTCCCCAAAATTGTAGGTGGTGGTCGAACGAAAATCCAAATTTTGTCATTGGCAATAAAAACGAATATTATCAAAAAATGAATGTATGGTGCGTTATTGTTAACAACAAATTAATAAGGCCGTTTTTTGCCAGAATCTAACTGGTGGTACCTCTTTACAGTTTTTGGAAAACGAACTTACGAATTTTGGACAATATGAGCTTTCAAGAACGACATAAATTATGGTTTGTACATGATGGATGTCCTGCTCATTGTACTATAATTGTTTCAGAATGGTTAACCGGAAAATTTGGTGATAAATGGTTAGGACGAAATACTGATCCACGGCGGCCTCATCGTTCGCCAGATCTCACCCCAAATCTGAAGAAGAAGGTTTACAAGGATCGATCATTGAAAAATGCTGAGGAGCTTTGAAATTAGATACGGTTTCATTGCAGAAATATTTCAGCAAGTGTGTTGCGATCTACTCCTTGTAAATTTTATGATCGGACAATTAGTCGTAGATGCATTGAACGAGAAGGTGAACACACAGAGACACGTCTATAATTCTTCCTCAACACATTTGATAATAGTTAAGTTATAATAAAAATAATACTATAATTATTGATAGGAGAAGAATTTGGCTGTCTGATCTGAATTGGTGTTCTAGAAGGTTGAAAGTTTGGCCTAAATGTATTATTATTAGCGAAATTTTGAAAATAATGTACGTTGTCTTCCTGTAAAACAAACTGCAATTCTTCACTAAGAGATTTGGGTTGCATACAACGTATTGTAGTACCCAAGGGTTCCTTGAACCCAGAAAGAAAGGTTGTCAATGTCAAATTGCTATTTAAATCTCTTTTACACTTTTTAGATTCTGGTGTGATTTCGTGAACGTCGATATAATTGCACATAGGTTCAATATATTTAAACACCTATCATAGAACTGCTGAGGCTTTTCATTAGGGGATTGCCTAAGCATAACCATGTCTCTGTTTAGGCAAGTTCCATCCCTTTGATCTGCAAAGTTTCTGGTTAATGTATCTTTGAGTTCTTTCCAATTTGAAACGTTCTGTATATCAGCTACTATTTTAGCATTGTCTGATAATTTTGAAATGAGACAGTTCAGTAAACATTTTGAAAGCTTGTCGGCTCAGCCACATTATAAAAAGTAGTAATTATTGAATCACAAACTGCTAGATATATATTTAAATCATTAGGATTGCCGTCGAATTCAGGCACACACCTAAGGTATTCTGAGTTGAATTGATTAGCCATTATTATATTTGAATTACTAGAAGAACTAGGCAAAGAAACTGAAGAGTCAGCTGAAGGGTTTTCATTATTCAAATTTAACTTTCCAAAAATTTGAGATAAGGTATCAATAGACATTTAAAAATAACGACTTACATTAAAATTGTAAGAATTGTGAGCATCCTTTATGAGGTAGACGACTGGTTCCTCGATTTTCGATTTCCTGAAAGACTTCCTTGCGAGACTGGACGATTCTGTTCCACTCCCCGATGATCTGCCTGTTGAGGGTAGCTAAAGATCCACGATAGATTGGGTTTCTTGAGGTTTGAACAGCCATTCCTTCACAAACACCTCCACAAGACAAAACAAGTTTGATGAATCGTTGAAACGAAAACTGCACGTTCGATACGTTCAATTTTCAGTATCCTACCGACTGCGCCAAATATAACTTTCGGATGTCAAAGTCCTTTTTTAAAAATTAAATTTTATTAAGAAAAATGGGTGTTAACAGTGTGAGAGCAAAATTATAACTGAATTATAAAAGTATTGTTCCCATGAAGATAAATAAGATTGCTTGCACATCAGTTTCCCATAATCACGAGATTCTGCTTCAACATGGTCAGCGGTTCACATGGGAACGGGCGATATAATTCCTGTTTCAAAGTGATGTTTGAAGAGGGATTAGGTTTGATCTGTTTTGCGCACAACTAGTTCACGTTCATAGGTGCATCCGCAACCGCTGTCCTGGAATCCAAATGAAATGACGAGACAAGTGTGCTGTCATCAGCAATGTTATATATTGGATTCTTGGTTTTTTGCAATGAGTCGTTGATATACAATTTTAAAAAAAAGTTGGAGACAATATGGCTCTCTGGAGAACACCAGCGTTGATGATAAAAGTATTCGAGAGATTTTCATCGACGGCCACATGCAGGGATTGTTCTTTCAGGAAGCTGGAGAGCCATACACAAAAATAATCCTACAAGCAATCCTGCATCGAAGTTTGGCCAGCAAATACTCGTGCCACACACCGTCCAATGCCTTGGAAATATCAAACCCAACAGCTATTAACTCTCGATGTTTCTCGATTGCGTTATTCCCAATATGAGTGACATACGATAGAAGGTCGCTTGTTGATCTTTGTTTCCGAAAGTCATATTGATGATCGCTCAAGATGTTGAAGCCTTCCAAATATTCAGAGTATGATGGTTCACGGCTTTCCCCACGATCTTTGATATCACTGATAGTAAAGCGACTGGTTTATAGTTATTTGAAAGATTTTTCTTGTCCTTTTTAGGAATAGGCTGAACGCAAGCAATCTTTTAACAAGAAGGAAAAACCCCTTACTTGTAAGGTTGAAAAGTCGGATATACTGGTGCGAGTCCATTGGCGCACTTTTTAAGTACGATGATGTGCACTCCATCAGGACCAGACTCCTTGTTGATATTAAGGTGTTTCAAAATTCGCTTGACTAGACGTTGTAGAAAAGTAATTTTCGGAATTGTGGATTCCAGTGTGGGAATAGTGGGTAGTGCCTTTATCAGAGAATCGACTGTGGGGTAGGACGCAAATT